CAGGAGGGGGTCCTCCACCGTGCGGCAGGGGCGGGTCGGAGTTGGCCCGCCACCTTCAGAGCACGGCCCTGGCCAATTCGGCAGGGGCCCGCCCCGCAGGGAGCACTCAGGCTCTTTCGACGACGGGATGACGATAGGTGTCGGCGGTAGGGGCGCTGGAGGTAGGGGGCGCGGCCGTGGAGGGCCGGTTGATGGCCGTGGCGGCGGGCGCGGGCGCGGGCCTGGTGTCGATGGCCGCGGCCCTGGACTCGACGGCCGCGGCCCTGGACTCGACGGCCGCGGCCCTGGACTCGGCGGCCGCGGGCGCGGCGGCGGTCGCGGAGAAATGGGCGGAAGGGGAGGAGAGGGAGCGGGCAGAGGCCAAGGGCGCCAATCGCGTGCGGCTAGTAAGCCGGCGGGGGAAGCTACGGCAGGCGTAGGCAGTCGCGGCACGGACCCTTCTGCTGCCGCGTTGGACCTTGAAACGATGGACATCCCTCTTCTCAGCGACACGGAGGTGAGGACACGGAGAAGCTTGAACGGCTGTGGCGTACGTGTTTGCGCTATTTCTGCATCGTAATGTGTGTTTTGGGCTTTTGTCACATGAAGTCCGAGCTCCCAGTGAACAATATTGTAGTGTATCACAAAAGTTCAAACGAACTATTTTGTTGTACGAGAGCGTTCGCACATACGGCGGGAGTCCCAAAAATTTTGAATTGTGATTCGACGGCGTCAGGGACGAGTGTGTCGTTTGACGACCCTTGCTGTCTTTGTATGATATTTGCCTCCTCTCCAGAAACGGATGGGGATCTCCCACTGCAAGAATCAGGGAAAGTCTTGCGTATGGGCAATTCGTTCAACGGTGTACGCTCACGGTACGAGCTTTGTAATATTGCCCGAAGCACACCAGTATATCTCTGCCCTGCTTGTCATTGACCGCTCACAATACCGTCTCCGTGATTTCGTTCCATGCTCTCGCTGTCCTCACCGGGACACGAGAGAAGAAACCCCACCCTCCTCGCATGAAGCACACGAAGAACGCGGTCTCCCATCCTCCTTATTTTTCGTCACTTGGACCCATTCGCTGTTGTACATGTATACAACACATCTGCTGGAGGAACACCAACGGATTTGTCTGGCGTATGCGTTGATCCTAGCAGTCTGGCGTGACAGAGGCTCGTTTTGCGTTTCATCTTATACATTCTATTCCAAGGAAATATGTAGCAGAGGGTCGGCCTTGTATTGGAACTAGACACGTGTAACATCTCAGGTGTGCCTACACGTTGGGCAGGTTATCGCCCAGGTTCGGTGTTGCATTCATGCAGGCTAGAGTATGGAAGGCAGCTGTCTATTACGATTCCAACATGGGGAGAGATGACAAGAGCGACCAACGGTGCTGGTGCTGGTATACTGATATGCTGCTCCTTATAAGTCATTTTGCATACCAGCCTCCAATGAGTTTAACAGAGTTGCCTGACGATGGAGCGCTCCCCGTCAACTTCACTTCACGTCAACACGAACGTCCGCGGACACAACAGGTGAAGCTACCGCAACAGCCCCAGCAAAAGCCACAGCAGCAGCGCGAACCGGCAGCCGGCACCGCCACCGCCGCTTCTGCCACTGCCCGTGGCCCAAGCCAAACTTCTGCTGCGCCCGTTGCAGGCCAAACCCCCGGTGCCGGTGAGGGCAAGACAACACCGGGCCTCGTGCTCGAGAACCAGCAGGAGACGGCCCCATCTCGCAGCGCTGGGGGACGCCCCGCCGGCCCTGGGAAATCCTCCGCCACCGATGGGCAACGCCCGCGAATGACGGATCTGTCCGCTTACCAAGCCCCCACTGGTCCTGGCCCGAAAGAGACTCGACCCAGTGCCACCACAAGATCGCACTTGTCCCCGTACCATGGGCCCGCCACCACTCAGGCACGTGGTGGCCGGGGCGGCGGCGGCGGCGGCGGCGGGGCGTACCGGAACGACCTGTCGGCGTACCAGCCGCCGTCCTCTGCTAAGTCCTCAGAGAGCGGTGCCGCAGCGCGAGCGGGTGGTGGTCAAAGGACTGACCTGTCAGCGTACCAATCTCCGAGTACGGCTTCCGGTGCCTCTGGCAGTGGTGGAAGACGCTCGGGGGGGCCTCAGACAGACCTTTCCGCGTACCAGTCCTCCCCGGCCGGGGGTTCTCCGGGTCAAGGAGGGAGGCGGACAGGAGCGGCAAGGACTGGTGTTGGCTCACCGTACCAACCGTCTAGCGGTCCACAGTCGTCGCCTGCCCTGACCGGCGCTGCAGGGCCGCAGGGAAGGTCGAGCCATGCCACTGGGGCGGGAAACAATGGCGCTAGGAAAGTACCCGGGTCCCGTCACACTGGCCAGGAGACACGGTCTGCCGGCAGCACGGGCGGTGTAGGCAATGGAGGTGCCACATCGGCCGTGCCTCGTGGTGGCGGATCCGGAACTCTGGCGTCTGGTGTCCCTCCCAAGATGAAGGACGGGCAAAATGGAAGCGCAGCTGGAATGAAGACTGCAAATGTTTCGGGGTCGAAGGTGGCCAGCGGAGCCCTGAGCGGCGGGCCGGGCCAGCAACAGCCTCAGTGGAAGCAGCAATCTCACGCTCAGCCAGCAGGAGGGGCAAAGCCGCGCGCTGGCACTCAACAGTACCAGCAGCCAAAGACGGCAGCGGTGCAGGCGACGGCCGGGGGAACGAAGTCGAGCGCGGGAGAGGCGAAGAAAGTGGGAGGTGCTCCTAGTCAACAGCGACCTAGGCAACAGCAACAACCACAGCAGTATCAAACGCAACAAGGGCAAGAGCAGTACCAGTACCAACAGTATCAGTCGTACCCGCAGCAAGTATCCCATACACCGGCGGCAGCAAGCGGCGGCAGCGTGTATGTCTCTTACAACCAGCACCAGCAGCAGCCTGCTGCCGCCAGTGCGCCTGCTGCGGCCGGAGCGCCTGCTGCATCAAAAGGGGTGGCACAATCATCCTCGTACGGCAAGACAGACACGCAACATGCGACGTACCTCACCTCCACTGCTCGTCCCGAAGCTACCGCTTGTACGGCCGCTGGATCAACGTCATCATCCACTGGCAGGGTGGAGTACACTAGTGGTGGCGGGAGCCAGTCGTGGAGCTCCGCTGGCAAAACCGACGCCGAATCCGCAGCACCGGCAGCACAAGTACCAGTAGCAGCATCACCAGCCACAGGTGCCGCAGCAGCATTACCAGCCACAGGTGCCCAAGCAGCACCAGCAGGAGTAGTGTCCGCCATTCCCGCTGTTTCGAGCGCTAGTTACCCGAGCGGAAGTGAATGGCCACCCCAGCAGCAGCAGCAGCAACAACAGGTTGTGCTGCAGTCGGCCGGCGCTGCGGGGCAACAGCAGCAAGGGTATGCTTATTCGTACCAGCAACAGCCTACGTTTGCTACGCTGGGAGCGTCGACGACTGGGCAGCAACTGCAGGGATCCTCCCAGCAGTATGGCATTGCACAGGTGGTGGTGGCATCACCAGCGGCAACGGGGGTTCAGGGAATTGCGCAAGCACCGGGGGAGACCGCGGTTGTTCAGCCCCCGCTGCCGGCGACGGGTCTTGTTCAGAGCTCCAGCGCGACGGGCGTGCAGTACTCGGTGGTGGCGACCCCGCAAAGCATGACAGCCATCCAGCCGCAGCAACAGCAGAGCGTGCAGGTGTGTGTTGAGAAAAATAGGCTGACTCTTCCAACTAAACGTCGAGTAACCAAACCGTGAAACTGCACTTTTCTCCCAACCATTTAGAACCTACATATCTACTCTCCACCTGCTACCTAACAACACGTCTCTGTCAACGGTATTTCTAATGATGTAAAGCTGATTTTACGCGACGGGCCTGTACTTGATGCCCCGTATGTGCGTTTTTTTTTTAGAATTTTCCCTCATGTTGGTAACGTGTGACGCAAGCCACTCACCTTACCCCCCTTTGAAGTCCCATTGGGAGAGCTGAGATTTCCGTTGGGGGGCGACTTGGTTGAGGAAACGTCGTCGTTCAAGAAAGTTGATTTTGCTGCGACCTCGTGTCCAACGTATCACCCCACGTGCTTTGAAGAGAAGCTCCGGGTTGCAAGGGACGTGCTAATATCTTTATTTCCCCCACCGTCGCGCTGCCGGCGGAAACGGGTACGGGATATCACACCCACACCACCACCGTGTGAACCTAAGTTTTCCCAGCTGTCGCGTTTTTCGACATCACAATTTCTCTGGACTGGTAGTTTACACCTTCCAGAAGAAGCAATGTGTGCGAGGGACTGAGCGTGAGCCCCTCGATCTAGTCATGAGGACTGACGTGGCTCTTGTTCTTCGTCAATGCTGCCGTTCACCGACATTCATGGGGATGAAACTAAATATTGCAGCTGCCTTTTCACTGAGGAGGAACAAGGCACCGTCGGTGTTGACTTTACATCTGACGCCTGCTTGGCGTAGCGCAAGGTTTGCAACGTCGTTCGTTTGCATTCTTCCCTGCAGTTTTTTTCGGCAATGGAGGCGACGTTGTTTTATGTCGATTCTTGTTTCGGCCCGACAAAGGACTGAAATTCTATTTCAAAGATGAACTGAACCTTTCCTCCTAAATCCTGGCCATTACCGCTTGAAAGATGCGTGTACTCAAGTGTACCTTGCACTTTCGTTACACTAGTCGAACGCACGAGAGTGCTCTCTAGACGGGGTCCACTAGTTGGCCACCTCGTGCTTGTGTTGGCAAAGTACCTGCCCCGACGTTGCTGGCGTTGTGCTAATGTATCTACGTAGCCGGTCAGGTATGTAGTCGGATGAGCCATCTCCCCCCGCGCTTCGGTGATCGTGGCGTTGCGTAAGGAGCAGAATGCATCGCCACAAAGTGTGAAACCGGCTTTTGGGAATGAAGACCTACCTGTAGTGTCTCGAGCAACTTCATTCTTGGAGTTGAAACTAGAGAACTCTGTAGTACCGTGTTGTGATACCACGAAGGCGAGAGCGGCGACGCAGGGTTCCTAGACGCTCGAATTGTTGTGTACTTCGAAGTGTCCTGTACCGTACGTGACCAAGATCTCCATCTTCCGCAACACTTCGTGTACCCCCTCTTCGCCGTGCTCAATGCGCATTAGCTTTCGATGGCCCAGCAGCAGCAGCTGGTGCAGCAGCAGCAGCAGCAGCAACAGCAACAGCAGCAGCTGATGCAGCACCAGCATTTGCAGCAACAGCTGCCGACACCAACGCAGCAGTACCAGATATTCCCGCCGCTTCCCGCCGGTCCGCAGTCGGCGTCCCAGCAGACGGTATACACCCCGGCACCAGCACCACCCCCGGCGGACTACAACCCCGGGACCCAAGGACAGCAGCCAGGATGGGGTTGAGCTTGAGCGTAGGAGAGGAGTGCCTTGCCTACTTCTGGCACGATGAATGGATGTTGGCTTGTGTTGAACGACGGGCGTCTTGTCATGGTCGCTCGATGGAGGTGTGCGTGCGTGGATGTGGAGCTCAGCCATTGCCGCTCGGAGGAGGTTTGCATGCGTGGGGGGAGAGATTGTCGGAGCGGCGGGAGCGCGTGCTTGGGTGCACGGAAGCTTTTCTTCGCACCAATAATGTGCGTGTTGGTGTTTTGTGTTGATTTTGTCAGCCTCGTCCGCGCTTGCCCGTTCACCAATGAAGAAGGCCCACTTACCAACGGCGGACATACGTGTGGGTGGAGATCTCGCTGTGTGTGGAGCTGACGCTACAAGGAACATTTGTGTGCTTCTAAAAGCAGGAGGTGGCATTGGCGCTTGCAACGATCAACGCGACACGGCAAGGATTCGGTTGTTGACAAACGGGATGGAAGGAGAGATTCCCGTCCAGCAGATCTGTTTGTTTGCAAACGCATGGATGCCTGCGTCGTTGTAATTATTTCACGTTGCTTGGAATCTTTTGTGTTATGCCTTGGGTGCGAATCCGGGGAGGGCGTTATTTTTCAAGGGAGCAAGGCGAGGGATCTCGCGACTGGTGGAAGATTTCCGGCAGGCGAAGCGGAGGATGGCATGGATAGCCCCGACAGGAACACGACAGCGATGTCAGCTGTGTTGGCGGTGGTGCCCTCGGGCAAGGTTTACGTTTTTCTATTTGATGCAGATGTCGACGACGTTTGTTGCGTTATCTGTCCATACCGGTAGTCACGTATAGAATTGAATATCCGGTGCGAGTCCACCAGATGCTGCTGCTGCTGCTGCTGTTCGGAACAAGTCGATGGGGGGGCAAGGTCCAAGCGATAGCCCGCCCTTCCGGTCTTCGGATCGCATTCAGTTCTGACCAACCATCGATTCCGGTAGTCGCGTACAGGACCAGGCATCGGGAGTGAGCCACCTGCTGCTGCTGCGGAGTTATGCCGACGGTGGGGCGGGGGGAGTGCTTGTTTGTTGCATGAGCTGATCCAATGATCGCGAGATCCGAGGCAGTTCACGCTTCGGTTATCGGGTTGGTCGCATTTGACCATTAGTATTTTCAAGTGAAACTCAGTTTTTGAACAATGTTTCTTGAAGTAGGTCCCCGTAGTTGACATAGGAAATGGATCAAGAGCTCTGAAGAAGCTACTGCAGTGCTGTCGTGATTTTGTGGCGGTGTTGGAGTGTCACTTCTATGGACACATGGAACACTAGTTGTCTCGTAAAACGGCGATGCAGATGTCCATAAAGGAACATATCGTTACGCTCTGTTCGGGCAGCTCTCTACCATGCCGCGAAGCGATTCTGTTGCCTGCGATGGAAGGCACGGCGGAAAGTGAGTCAAATCGTGTTTGCGCTTCGGGGCGGGTCGTTGTTCCCACGCGGGAGAGCGCTCTATTTGTGAACAAGGATAGGAAGTTGCGCAATCTGTCAAGTATTAGGCAACATTAACCAGTGTACGTTATTGATCCCTCCGTGTAGCGTAGAAGAAACTTGTCACGCCATACATCC